ACATTTTACTTACAGTATATAGTAATTCAGTCAACAGTAAATTATGTGAAAAAAAAATTAGTTTTATTTCAAAGCGGGTTAAAAATTATATTCATTTAATGATTGGATCAAAAGCGTCCCTGGTCTAACAGGTGAGAGGCTCGGCTCTTCGTATCGAGTCATTTAGTTATACCGCAATTCTAATTCCGGAAATATTATACTTCATACAATATGGTGGTAGGACCTCTGGTGAGTCCGCGCGGGTAGGTACCACCACCCTGCCTATTTCTGCCGTGAAGCAGTAATACGTTTCGGTTTGAAGGGTGGGGAAACCGTTGTAACTATACTGAGACCTTAGAACTTATATCTCAAGGTGGGTGGCGCATTTACGTTGTGGATGTCTATGGGCTCCAGTAACCACTTAACACCAGGTGGGCTGTGAGCTCGTCCACCCATCTAAGTAATAAGATAAAAATTTTTTTTTAGCCGACTTCAAATGAGAAAGAATGAAGTTCTCAATTTGTCTACGTGGAATTGTCGGCCTAGAATACCACCACCTCTTCTTTTCTCGTGAGCTTCATAAAAAGTGAACTGAGGGATTCATTGGAGAATAGACAAATATAATATTCCGAGTAAGCTGCTTCTCTGAATGTTATAATTTAACGATAGCTATCGCCTTCTGTAAGAAATCTGACAAAAATCTAAATAGCGGATTTTCATTATGACCTTCCGTAATAATTTTGGTCGAGTCAAGGAAAATAAAAAACTACATTCAGACCCTCCGGTTTCACTGAAATATCACTAGCTCGGAGCAAGGATCTAAAGTGTTGTAAAATCAAACCACCCGCACAATTTCAAACACTTTCAATTTTTTTATGGCATATTGAAAGAACAAAAACGAAGCAAAAGATGAGTATGAAGATTTAATATGATGTTACAAAGCAACAGAAAATACGAAAAAGAGATAATTCAGAATTTTTTTATTGTAAGCAAATAATATGAGCGGTTCGTATCAAGCCGACCACTTGTCTGATCATATTGTGTGAAGGCTGCAGTTGTTCTGTTGCAGGTTACCAGTTTAGAAGGTTAGGACAGTGGTCGGCAAACTTATTAGACAAAGGGCCAAATATGCAATTTAAATATGTAAATATATGTGATTTACAATCACAAAGTAAATAGCTACATTGTATACTGCTTCGATTAATATGTGTATAATAATCGACATCAGTCAGGGATGCTGATATTAAATGTCCGTACATACTATAACCGGCTTTTTCGTCCACAGCCGGATAATATTAGAGACTGGGCAAGCCCGTAGGACATTTGTGCCAGAGCCACACTCAAGAGTTCAAAGAGCCGCGCTTTGCCCACCTCTGGGTTAGGACAAGGTGAAAATCTTCCACCGAACTGGTGAAATTGCTAGGTTTTTTAATTTTATTACTTTGTTGGGTGGACGAACTCGCGGCCCACATGGTGTCAAGTAGTTGTCGGAGCCCATAGACATCTAAAACGTAAATGCCGCCACCCACCTCGAGATATAAGTTCTAAGGTCTCAGTTTTTATAGTACAATGGCTGCCCCACCCTTCAAACCGAAACGCAAAACTGCTTCACGGCTGAAATAGGCAGAGAAGCGGTACCTACCCGTGCAGCCTCATAAAACGTCCCACCACCAGTAACGACGCGGGTTTGATTAAATAATAACTGCGGGTTTGATTTTTTATTACACGATGTTATTTCCTCACCGTGAAAGTCAACCGTGAACATTTTTCGAGTACGTATTTCATTAGAAAAATTGGTACCCGCCTGCGGGATTCGAACGCCGGTGCATCGCTAGGTACGAATTCACCGGACGTCTTATCCTTTAGGCCACGACGACTTTAAGGTAAAACCGACTGTACCAATGTTATAGCTCGGAACTTGTATATACGCAAGCTTATCTCGTAAATATTGTAGGCTAGATTCAGGCATTTGTAAATATCTTTTGTTTTAGATAGCTGTTGTCACAGATCTTCCCTTTGTCATTTCCATATAATAGCAGCGTACTTCGCACTTCAACCAGCATTTACTGATAGTAAGACGTATTATTAAGCCTGCCCGGTTGGCTACCGTTGCCATGCCCGTTTCTGACATGACGCAGCCATGCGTTTGATGGGTGGTACTACCGTTATTCGGTACAATTGACACTACATCCTCGTGTTTCAGTGTGGGCAATGTCATTTTTGTCACGACCTCAATGGATATCCATCTACAGAAGAAAGAAAGTGACTTACCATTTCATTTCACACATCATCAAAAACTATTCTAGATCATTAAATAGTCGTCTAATAGCCTATAGTCTTAAAATTTTATTCTTATCGTCATCACAATAAAAGCTGTGAATTTTATCACGATAACGTGTCAAATGTTATTTGCACTTCGTGTATAAAACACTGAAGTTTTATAGAAAGCATTTGAAATCGTTTATTTAAGTTGTCGCTCGTGAATATCCATAAAGGCAATATTATCCTGTAAACGTGCAGATATTGTAGGACCTCGCGACCGCCTCCTGATGTTACTGAAGCCCACACATAACGCATCTTGACCAAAACTTACTGTTTATACCAGAAAATATGCTCATTTTACGACAGATATATCTATGTATGTACACATGCAAGATTGCGATATCTACGCGCAATATTCCACACACAACAAAAACATGAAAAACCTAATATCTCGTACACAGATTATTACCACTGAGACTTGAGGAAAATTCCTTACATTGGAGTAATAGCTAGCAAACTACGTCAGCTGTCATAGCATAGAATAAATCCAGCAATGACCAGACTCGCTAATGATATTTACATGCGACATTTAGTATTAGGATCGTTGAGCGAAAAAAACCGGCTCGGTGGAAGATCGAGCCTTTTTATCGGTTTCCCCAAAACCAGTCCGTCGGTTGTAGTGTTAGTCAAAACTACCCATACACCATGCCTACTGGTAAGAAGTTATTAGGGGATAATAAAAAGTGTGAAGGTTTGAATATTGGACGTTTTTTTGTAATTCACGCAGATTCTGTTCAAGTAAGACCCTCTGCCCGCATGAACCTTGCAATAGCGTTTAGAGATAAAAATCTATAGACACCTTAATCCGGGTAACCAAGATGGTCAGTTTTGTCCTTGCTAGGCCGTCACGATTATTGAATACGAGGACAGCAGAGCATACGGGAATGACACAAAAGATAGAGTCGAAGTGCCTTTAAGACGATATAAGTGCAACAAAGTGATCTAAGGGCGATTTTACTGGTGATAGAACTTCTTGAGAGTCCGCGCGGGTAGGTACCACCACCCTGCCTATTTCTGCCGTGAAGCAGTAATACGTTTCGGTTTGAAGGGTGGGGCTGCCACACTGTAACTATACTTAAGACCTTAGAACTTATATCTCAAGGTGGGTGGCGCATTTACGTTGTAGATGTCTATGGACTCCAGTAACCGCTTAACACCAGGTGGGCTGTGAGCTCGTCCACCCATCTAAGCAATAAATAAAAAAAAACGATGCAATTTAATTTATTTTCTTTTTTTGTAAATTGAAAAAGCTCAGATACTAACAACTGGTTGACGGCCTCAAACATTTGAATAATATGTATCTCTTACTTTTACGAGTACGATAATGTACTATAATACTACTGTAATCTATTTTTTTATGAATCACAGCTTTAAATTCCTATTGGGCTGCTGACACAACCTTGAAAAGCTTTCTTGAATGGACAGTTAAATATATAAAACGAGAATATAATGTGAATTTAGTTTGAGAAGCAGTGGATTTTTCTCTCACACGCTGTGAGCCTGTCGGGCAACTTAAATTACAAGTAATTATCTACTTTCCTCTATTGATAAAGATTCGTTTGAAAACTGCTAATTGCTCCAATTAAACTATCAAAATATTTACCAACCTAAAACTGTATTAAATTGGTTCGTGCCTTTATTTGGTTTAAAATGTCTGAAGAATATCCACGGTAAATTTTTCATCACACAATTTTCATTTATTTAAAACACAAGGAATTATTTAAAAAAAAAAAAAAGTATTTGTGTATCGATTAATCAATATGTAATAATTGATAATTATCTTAGGCAGTCTTTATTATTATGAAATAAAATAAAAATACGAAACAGCAACAAATTTCTAACAATTTTTGTATAGAATAAGATTTGGACAAATTGACTTAAAAAATGCTTTGGCTAGCGGTATACTTTATACTAAAAAAAAACTATATGAGGAACTTTAAGAATAATTCCCAACAAATTTTTGACTAGCTCGAATGCAACAGACAGATCGTATGACTTCAACCACATACCACAGGCCACCATAATAAACTTGTATTACTTTACTGCGGTGATAAAAACCCAATTGACTTTATGTGCAAATAATTTTGTGTTCTTTTTGTGTATCGAATACATATTGTAAATAAAAATGTATGTTTATAAATGATATGTATTCGATAATCAATCAAATAAAATTGTCAACAAAAAAAAATTCAGTTAATTTAAATTCGTTGTTGGATGTTGTTCAAAAATTAATTTGATTCTCAAATTTAGTGAGTCACGAACTTCACAAGTTTCTAAAGTAAACATGCAATAAATGATAAGCAATTTAGCTCAGGTTTTATATTTTAATTGATTTTAAACGAAATTGTTATAAGCTATTCCTCTAAAATTATTATAGTATCTGCAAAGTTAGATTTTGCTTGTTTTTTTAAAAATACCATTAAGTACTATTGGTTTGGTTTCTTGGTAAATTCAACTAACAGATCCTAAATGGAAAAGTCAATGCAGCTAATAAAAAATGACAATGGAAAACATCATCATACTTACTTTTACAATTAAAACTGAAAATTTAATTTCGGCTTCGAAAATTCAAACTAAAACTGCCATAATTATCGAAAAACCATTAACAATGACAATAAATGACCAAAGCGTAACGGCTCTTAATCGAGCATCGAACACCAAAATTCTCAAACAAAATAAACAGAGTTAGAGTTACGTACCGTTCGTAAGCATTACAACGTTCGTACGTAGCGCACACATCACGTTTTCCAACTAAACAAATTATTTCTCGAGACGCTGAACATCGTTTTATATTGCCCACTGATTGATTACTTACAAAACGACCGTGTCAAAACACTGTGATAACACGCGCGCGCTCGTCTAGTTCGGTGGCTGTGTGTTATCGGCGAGAGTTCGGCCGGTACTGACTGTTAGCTCGTAGAGCGCTAGCCCCCGCCCGCCCTAACACGGCCCTTTCTTTGTTTCCTTCATGCGGGGTTGCTGGTGTGCTACGGCTCGCGTTACATTGTGGGATTTCGTAAAATTTAGTTTATATCATTACCTACCGGAACGAAGTAGATTAGGTTAACGGTAACACAAAAAGGAGCGGGTAGGCTCAAGCTAATATCATGTTTGAATTGTTACCGGTATCCGCTTACAACGGAAAAGCTGTTGGGATTTTCTGTCGGTAAGGGTCAACCCCACTTAATCGGTAATCTAAAGCATCGTCAAAAGTCCAGACACGTCGACTGCCTTTCGTATTACGCGCCACTCAATTTGGTTTGGATTCGCTCTATTTAATATATATATATATATATATATATATATATATATACATACGTATAGATTCTACTTCATATGTCAACATTTCTTGATATACACGTAAGAAATTCAAAACACAAAAAAGCGTGTGTAGGTATTATGAATTTTAAAAGACATCACTCTGGCAACACAGTGACGCGTCCCCTCTGAGCTTTATGTTAAGCAAATCTCGCGTGTTGCAATCTCCGGGTTTTATCAATTGATTCGATTCTAAAGAACTCGATAATACTCTGTGGCTTCATGAAATTCGCAATGATATAAACAGAGTGATTACAGTGTCTTCATTTTGTCAAATGGTACATGAAATGAAAGGGATAAAATGTATTTAAACGAATCTTAAGATTCTGTGTACCTACGTCTATATATTGGGTCGGGGTGTATTGTGGGTAGGCACGAGTATAACTTCTATTCTTCTTCTTTGTCGCTTCCTCATTACTGAGGGTCGTGACCACCTTGGTCGAGTTTTTGCACTAGCTTCCTCCAATGTTGCCAATCCAATGCTGCATTCGGCTTGCTTAATGGCGCCCGGGACGCTGGTGTTTGTCCTTGACTATGTCTGTCCACCTGGTTGGTAATCTTCCTCGACTTCTCTTTCCTTCCACGTGACCTTCTATTAAAAAGCCGTAATACCAGTTTATTTTTGGCCAACTTAACTACCACTATCCTCGATCAGCGATTCGGGATTCGCTTTGCTTGATAAACGAGTGAGGTCGCGGGGCTCAGCCTAAGAGAAATTTCCTAACAATTGTTCTAGCCAGAGAAGTGCTTCATTGAATTCATCATTGAATCAGAATCGCGTCCCATTGAGAAGATTCGGTGAGAAACTCAATGGGTTGAGTTTGCTTTAAGGGCCGAAAATCTTCTATAGAAATCATCCCAATCGAGCCAGTTTTTAAAAAACCTAATAAACAAATCTGGCACAATTTAATTGCAGATAATTTATAAAAAAGAGAACATAACGAGCTAATACAACAATGCTTATACAACGAGCTATCGAATTTATTGTCCCTTGATTGGCGTAGAAGCGACCGCGTAGCAAACAATTTGAATAACGTAGCAGCAACAACGTAGCAGACGTCTAGACCGTCGTAGCAACGCCGCTATATGCCGCAACTTACCTTTGCCCATGGCATTGCTGACGACCATAAGCAAAAATGACCAGTTATCTGAATCAGGTGGAGCATATTCCCGTGTGCCTAGGAATTTATTAAAAAAATCGCAAAAGTGATCATAATCATTTTGTCCGATTCGTGAAAATTTAAGAAAATACATGATTTTGTGTACTGATTTGAAGCCTTGCACTTTCTAATATTATTATGTACAAATAAGGTACCAAAGGTTGCCTCACATGAAATTCTACCGGTCATCTGGGCTCAGCAACTATCGGCTATACGGTGTAATATTTGATGTACATTCGTATCGGTAACGGCTGTATTCAAGCATTTCATAAAACGCCGACGCTAAGGGATAATTAAATAAAAGTATTTAAACATGTACAAGCTAGGCGGTTAAGCCCATATTGTACTGATGTCAAAATACGACATAATTTCTAGAAAACAAATTTAGAGTAGCAAGAAGCTCTTAGCGAGTTCACTTTACGACCTCATTGGAGATCAAAAAAGCTTAACATTATGAGTGAACATTTAAGAGTTTTTCTCTGACTAGCTTATTACAATATTCGACGTTCTTCTATCAAAGTATTTCATACTTGAAGATGCTTTAAAATGCTCTTAAATGTACCGTTATTCAATTTCCTTTGCGTCTCTTATTCGTTCAGTAACTTAATTTATTATGTCGTCATTGTCAAAAGAAGAAAAAAAAAACCAAATTTTTCGTGCTTCAATTTAGAGAATGCTTACATTGGAAGTGGAACAATTACAGCAGAAAGTAAAGGCCATTATATTAGGATCTATCATAGACGTGACATTATGTATGTGTTCTACCCTCTTACGGCTGACATTATATCCGCCGCAGTGCAGTAGAATGTTTTTGCTTCGGCCGCATCTACAACTTGTAATTGTACTAAGTGATACACGTCACCTTTAATACTGAAAGCGATATTACCATAGTCAGTCTGGTATGAAGACAAGAGTTTGATGAATCTTATTAATACTGATGTTAGGGCACATTGCAAGCTCGCACAACTAGTTGCTACCGTCTTTGGAGAGTGCGAGAGCCGTAAAGAAAATGAAAATAGAAAAAATACTTGGGTTCTAGAAGCTACTCGTAATCAAGTGGGCCATGAGCTAATCTGGTAATTTAAATAATAAAATACCAAGTGGCATTCAAATACTTGATCCACAAGATCTTCTAAAGAGTTTATTTTCGTTCAGCTAAAATCTATCGCTTCTTAAAATTGATGTTTAAAACCATTCAAAATTTTATATCGAAAAAAATAATTAACGTAAAATTTTTTTTTTAGCTATCAAATTTATTACATTGCTCTGATTAATCTTGGTATTTTCAGGCTGGCAGTTGTTACATAGTATGTTATTCTCTTCTTTTTCTCCACCTTATCCCACTATGTGGGGTCGGCACAGCTAATTTTTCTCTTCCATTCTCTTCTATCAGCCGTCATCTCAACACTCACTCCTCTCTCTCTCATATCGTCATTCACACACTCCATCCATGTCTTCTTCGGTCGACCTCTTCCCCCTCTACCTTGCACTACCATTTCCATACATCTCCTGTTATTATTTGTAGCAAAAATCGTAATTAATATTGCCGCATCGTCAATCAATTAGGCAGCCTAAATTTGATAATAAATACGAAATTATGTTAAAAATACATCCCCGCTAACGAAATTAGGCAATCATTATGACAGGTTCAGCGCACACGATATAATTTTTGGGGCGAAATTTGCGTACTTCGTACAGTTTTACTGAAATAATTTTAAATTGAAAATCAAAGCTATGTAATGTGTAATTAAAGCTGTATTTTATTAGTCTTAGTTCTAATGAACTGATATTTGACCTTTCATAGATTGTGATTAATCAAAATAATTTGGGTTCGTTGACGGTTCGGGAGCATACGTAATTAATTTATCTTCAAATTTAAATATGGGACCAGATTTAAAAAAAAAACACAAGATCTATCCGAGAAATTAATTATTTAGTAGATGGCAGGTCATAGTAGGTGGTGGGACCTCTTGTGAGTCCGCACGGGTAGGTACCAACGCCCTGCCTATTTCTGCCGTGAAGCATGCGTTTCGGTTTGAAGGGTGCGGCAGCCGTTGTAACTTATGTCTCAAGATGGGTGGCGCATTTACGTTGTAGATGTCTATGGGCTCCAGTAATCACTTAACAACAGGTGGGCTGTGAGCTCGTTCACCAATGTAAGCAATAAAAACTCTTATTACAATGAGATTAGGAGTATCTTATCTTTTATTTTGAGACATAGGCAGCCCGAACAAACATTACTTTTATAGAGATCATTATACTTGTCTTTTTCTCCTTCTTCCTAGCGTTTTCCTGGTCTAAAGTCAAGGTCCGCTTTCTAACTTAAGCTCCTCCACTTTACCCGGTCTTTATCATCCTTGTAGTTGAGTTATTCTTCTCCATATCCGAAGTAGTCTGGTGCCTGCGGCTTATCATTATACTTGTTTACTCTCTTAAAAATGACCACTTCTCATTTTGAAACGTAACTAAATCAAAAAAAAAACACAATATAATCCAGGGTCTGATCTCACGAATTACATCACTACGTCATACGCCGAACTGAACTGATCCAGATTGTATCAAGTCACTATGCCAGGGCTGCGAAAGGACTTCAACAATTTTTCTATACGTTCTTGGGCATTTTAAATTGTTACGCAATATTTTAGTACTGCAGTTCTAGAGCTCATGACTATTTTTTTTGGAACGAAGTTCCTTATGGGACGATGCGGAGGGGTACCCTAACCGGGGAAAAACTTCCGTAAGGTTAGATTTGTATTAGTAGTGCACACAGTGTACGACTTAACTTTGTAATAACGTACAAAAAATTACATTTTTATTGTATATTTTTTATAAATCATTGTGAATAAAATAAAGTTGATAACTTTGTAAAGTAGTTTTTTTTATCAATAAAAAGTCATGATAAATAAAATGTATACCCGAATAATAATTTTCTTTATACCTCGAATAGAACTTAAAATTAATATTTTTATAATAAGGAACTTCGTTCCTATCCGGTGCCCCACGACACCACACATCTTTTTTTTTTTTTTTTGACTAAATCTGTATTTATTTTGATTTGTTTTAGTGCTCTTTTAGTCCGACACGCATACGGATTGTTGGCGAGTAGTTATGATCATTTGTAGACGTTAGAAATACCAGAGGCAGATTCGTTTGAAGAAAGACATGTTATAACGCTCAGGAAACACTGAGCTAACTCCCTCTGAGTTAAAATGGACTATCATGACAATCGTCGTATCTTCGTGAAGGCTCACGCATTGTCTGTTGATTTCTAGTACGAGGGTTCTCGAAGCGATTGTTTATCTCATCGATAAAGATCTCACTAAGCCCTAAACATCGTTAACAATGATATGAAGAAATTTTGTATTTATACCAAGAACAACAACGTTCGTCTGTCGACACGTTCGGTGGGAGGATATTATTAAGTTCACATCA